ACGAGATTCAGACGTATTTTTTTTTGCCCTAACAGCGGATTTAGTGTTGGCGCTGGAAACACGTTTACCATTATCGAGTGTAGTGTATGAATCTTTAGAAAAAAAAAAAAAAATTAACCTATGACGCGTTTATAAAAAGAAATAGCTAACCTTGAAAATCATAAAGCCCAAGATTCTCAACGGTGTCCAAAACTTCCAAGCATAAATCATCATTCACATTACTCCAAAATTCATCCTTCGTGTTATCTCGCATGGGTGATAAGCGATCATTTTGCCCGAGAAGATCGGCGGTGTCGAGAACCTCCCAGCATTCATTCGCGTTACTCGTCAATGCATCCGCCGTGTTATCTCGCATGGGTGTTAAGCGAACATTTTGTTTATCTCGTGTAGTTGATACGCGATCTTTATGAACGGGCGATGTACCAGGCTAACACTAAAATTAAATATTCCAATTCTCCAATAAACCATACCCGTAAGTCCAATCCCTTAACAACATTAATCTATCTAAACTTAAATTACCTAATTCTACATTTAAATTATATACACTATTATTATTATAACTATGAATACGAGTACTACGATTATGATTATTATGTACAGTATCACTTAAGGCTAAATCTAAATATTCTAAATTATTAATAATATATATGCTAGGCCCCATTTTTTTTTGAAAAATTCTATACAATAAAAGATCCCAATAATTTTTCGCTATACCTGAACTCCTTAATTCTAAATTTCTAATATCATAATTTACACATCGTCTTATTTTTAGAAATACCTCCTCCCAATAATCCCTACTTGTATCTTGTAACCACATCACACTCCCGGATAACAAATTATCATTCCAGATAATGTGACCATGGTTGTCTACTAATTGGTAGGTTTGCTTAAATATTTTCCGGAAAAAATATTCGAAGTCACGATGCGAATATATTTTTAACTCCGGCTTAATAAAACTTAAATTTGTAATTATTGTCGGGTTTATATTTAAATTAAATTTCGCGTATACAAATTCGCGCCATTCTACGCTCCTGGACATATGGTATTTTTTATGAAAAATTTTTTTTTTTCCCTGCATGCTTCACAATTCCATTCGAAATGACGGTGATTGTCTAATGACGCCTCGCAATGAGACGTCATTAGACCCTCTAGAGAGGTATGAAAATACCTCTCGATTACTTCTAAGACTTTAAAAATAAAAATAAAAATAAAAATAAAAATCCTGGATATAAATATTAGGCAATGATACTTACTCGATTCGGCGTCCATAGTATGCAAAGTATCGCGTTGATTATTGCGTGTTATGAGCTAGTGATACGACGTTTGGAGTACAACTAATTCTAGTTCGTAATATATGTTTTGATGAGAAAAAGTATATTTCTATAACTATGAAGAGCATTGTCTATGAACTATCGTAATCAGGCAAATTTTTACATTATCACTATACAGGGTGATATTTTTATCATTGAACACTCATTATTTCAAAAAGTATTAATGTTTAAGAAAATATTTTTTTACATAGTTTCAAGTTGTTAAAAAACAATATTTTTATTAAAAAATTATATTTTTAAATATTTTTTATCCTTTTAATTTTTTAAGTTTTTTACTTTTTTGAATGACAACATGTAATTTTAATTTGATATTCAAAAACAGAATATTTTTCTGAGTATTTCGCTACATAAAAATTGAATTTAGGGCAATTAGTTTATGAGTTATAAGTATTTAAAGTTTAGATGAGCGGAGTAGTGGACAAACATTTCGCGGGGTAACCCCGTACCACTCTACTCCGCTCATCTAAACTTTAAATACTTATAACTCATAAACTAATTGCCCTAAATTCAATTTTTATGTAGCGAAATACTCAGAAAAATATTCTGTTTTTGAATATCAAATTAAAATTACATGTTGTCATTCAAAAAAGTAAAAAACTTAAAAAATTAAAAGGATAAAAAATATTTAAAAATATAATTTTTTAATAAAAATATTGTTTTTTAACAACTTGAAACTATGTAAAAAAATATTTTCTTAAACATTAATACTTTTGGAAATAATGAGTGTTCAATGATAAAAGAATCACCCTGTATATAAATATATTTTTGATGAGAAAAAGTATATTTCTATAACTATGAAGAGCATTGTCTATGAACTTTCGTAATCAGGCAAATTTTTACATTATCACTATATACAGTATGTCCCAAAAGTCCCGTATCACCCTTAATATCTCCATGTAAAATCACTATATTTAAACGCGGTTTTTTTACAGTAATAAGTATGAAAATTCTGATTGAATGGCATAAAATTCATTTATTTTTTTCCTTAAATTCAAAGATTTTCAAAAAAATTTTTTACGCATTTAAGAATTTAAAATTTTTAAGATAACCATTTTGTTGAGCATATTTTTTAAAACAGTTCAAAAAAAAAAAATACTAAAATTAAATAAAAATTGACCAAGTTAGAGCAAGTTATGTTTTTAAATAATTGTAGTAAAAAAATAAATTAGGAACGTAAAAGTATGGTCGTGTGCTGAAATTAGATATTTCATTATTGAAATGTGAAACAATAATTTATTTTTTTACTACAACTATTCAAAAACATAACTCGCTCTAACTTGGTCAATTTTTATTTAATTTTAGTATTTTTTTTTTTGAACTGTTTTAAAAAATATGCTCAACAAAATGGCTATCTTAAAAATTTTAAATTCTTAAATGCGTAAAAAAATTTTTTGAAAATTTTTGAATTTAAGGAAAAAAATAAATGAATTTTATGCCATTCAATCAGAATTTTCATACTTAATACTGTAAAAAAAAACCGCATTTAAATATAATGATTTTACATGGAGATATTAAGGGTGATACGGGACTTTTGGGACATACTGTATATATATATAGTTATATGCGGAGGAAGATTTCCAGCCTCTGCTCAACAAACTTGTAGCATGTAGTATCAGTTGTGCGGTATACATCATATGGTTTAACGAGATATAGTTAGCTATAATATGAAGGTGGTGTATAAAAAATATATATATATATATACCTGTATATATTATAAATAGGTGCAAATATTGTAGAAAGAAGAATGTTATACGTAAGGGAAAAAAATAACGCGGTGAATAGTTGTAAAGAAGCGTTTATTAGTACCTGTATATACATCGTTAATTTATCTATACATTTTGTACTATATTAAATATTTTAACAGCTACTTCCCTACATTCTGCTGTACCTAATACATCTTCATAATATCTAGAATCATGGATTTTTACTAACTCGTCCATACTAGTCCATACCTGCAAGCGACGCCCACAAATGTCACATTTTTTAAATTGTCGTATATAACGTAGTAAGGCAGGGTCATCATATACATGCTGTGTAAAGAAATGTTTTTTAGAACTTAACATAATTTTATGTCAACTGTTTCCTCTGGGCTCAATAAATTGCTATAATAGAACCGTCTCGGTGTATTTGATAGATACAAAATGTTAAAAATATACCAGTAGATTATTTTGTGTTAAAGTCACTGTGATAACTGATAACGCACCGGAGGGCTCGCGCGCGCGTTCGTGGCGGCTCTTGGCATGGTATAGTGGCGGGGGAAATTATACCTCGCGTACGTAAGCGGACGTCGTAAACGCCAGTTAAATGAGATAGAATATACCTTCTCAAACATATGCGGGTAGGCGGCCCAGTGGTACGGTGGTCGCTTATCATGCAAGGGAACCGGGTTCAAATCCCGGTGTGACGGATAAATTTTTAAATTATTTTCCAAGCGCGGTCGTCATAGGTGGTGGGGTGGCGGGGGTACATCGTTAACGTGTGTGATATATGGTGGGTTCAGCAGCCGTCAATGTATAGGGATGTGCAGGGGGTATAGGGAAGAGCGGGGTGGCGGGGGGCATATCGTATACGTGCGTGATAGTTAGCTCAACCCATGGGTTGAGCAGAGAGCAACCATGGGATGAGCAGACGGTGTAGTGGGATGAACAGACAGGTATAGTGGGATGAGCAGACAGGTATAGTGGGATGAGCAGACGGTGTAGTGGGATGAGCAGACGGGTATAGGAATTTGCCAGCAGGATGAGGTTACAGAACTCTCTTTTACTACCTACTATCGGGCGCATGTAGAACACATACCAGTATAACAGCGGTGTAACGTATTGTGTTTGAAAAATATGTTACACATGTCAGGTTTAAAGTCAACCAGACTATCACCATCATCTAGACTCGATCCTCGGACGTCACCTAGAATATACTTACCACGTATTGCATTACAGAACTTCCCTGTACACGATGTTCTTGGTGACGAATCGCCCGCTGTCATCGGCGTGCATGCCGACTCTCACGGACTGTGCGTTTCTCACCCTCGAAAACGCCACGTACAGCTGGCCGTGAGTGAACGGAGGCGACGTCAGAAGCAAACCAACCCTGTCGAACGTCTGACCCTGCGACTTGTTGATGGTCATGCCGAACGACAGCCTCACCGGGAATTGAGTGCGCCGCATTGGAACGGGCAGGTCGTCCTCACCGCTGGACGTGAGCGGTATCTGGGGCAGGACGATGTCGTCGTCCTGTGGGTCACCGCCCAAAATCCTCGCCTTGAAATTGTGTCGCCGCAGTTCGGTGACCACCAACCTCGTACCGTTGCACAGTCGTCTCCTAGGATCGAGATTTCTGAGCAACATCACGATGCACCCCACCTTCAACTCGAGCCGGAACGGCGGCAGGCCGTCCGGTTCCAAACCGTTGAGGAACTCTGTGGGGAAATTGGCCACTTCGTCGGCCCCGTCCACCACCGCGGTGTCGACGGCCTGGTAGGTCTCCGGATTACCGGCGAAGCGCTCCAGCACTTCCGCGTTGACACCTCTGCACTCTTCGTTGGTGGGACACACGACGACTCTCCGAGCAAATTCTTCGACGTCGGCCAACGACATTTGCTGCGGATACACGAAATCTATTAAATCGGCGACGTCGCATACCATTTCCTGCGGGATTTCCACTGTGTCCGGAACGCCGTCGACCGCGGGCAGTTGGCCGTTGCCGAGCTGAAGCAACCAAGACGCAAAGTCCGCGTCGTTGCCCGCGCGCATGTTCTGGACCAGATCGAAGCGCTCCATGACGTTCCAAAGATGGTTGTTCTTGATCGACGACATGACGATATTGGCTCTCGTCCCTCTCTGGATCACGGGCAATATCTGCCTGAAGTCGCCGGCGAACAGCATGGTCTTACCGCCGAACGGTAAATTCGAATCCATGACGTCTTTGAGCAGGCGGTCCACCACCGTCAGTTGCAGTCCCAGTGACATGGGGGCTTCGTCCCAGACGATGAGCGCCGCGTTGCGTATCCTGTGAGCTCGCTCGGACTGCAAGTGGATGGTGGACGTCGAGTCTTCGTTCAGCGTGCCGAACGGATTTCCGAACGTCGAGTGCACGGTCTTGCCGCCGTCCATGAGCGACGCTGCGATGCCGGTGTACGCGACGCTCAACACTTCTCGCCGACGCTGCCGAAGCGACCATATCAGGCATCCGTACAGCGTAGTTTTTCCGGTACCTCCGGGTCCGTCGACGAAGAAAGTTCGCGACACCTCGCCTGGGTTTTCGACGGCCGCCATCACGCGGTCGTACACCGTTCGCTGTTCGGCGTTCAAGGTGTCCACTTGTTGGGCCCACCGTGCAGCCGCGTCTATTTCTCGGAACAGCTCGTTGTCGTCCTGCAGCGGTTCCAGTAGAAGGGGGTCTGCGAGGGGCAAACCGTAGTCGACCGAGGGTGACTTTCCGTGCCCGCGAAGTAGATCCTCGATGGCTGCCAGACACGCGGCCCTCGCGCGGTCGACGTCTTGGAGACGCCGGTTGAAGTCCTCCATCAGGTACGCTTCGTTCGCCTCGTACAACGCCAGCGGGTCTGACGGCAGGCAGTGCACCAGTATAGTGACGAACAGATACCGCAGTTGCCACGGTGGGTCCATATCCGCCGATTCCGCCAAACAATGCCGCCACGCTAGGTCGTCTTCCAATAGTCCGAGTGCAATCGCAGCCGCCGTGTATGTCTCTTGAACGACCCCGTCCATCGTCCTTATGTCTTGAAAGGACTGCGGGCCTCTTCGGTTGAGAAGTAGCAATCTCAAGTGGAAACGGTCCCGGTCCAGTAGGCTCACTACGTACATCCGAGCCAATGTAACGGTTATCATCCGATTCACCCGCGGACGCCATTGTTTGAAATTTTTCTGCCAGGTGTAGTGCATCGGTATGTCGCGGTACAAGTATTGTCGAGCCGCCGCGTTGGTCGCGTTGAGCTCGAAGAACTGCGTGAGTTTCGTGCGACGTACAGCTTGGTTCTGTAGCCGTTCTTCTTCTTGGCCCGGCGCAAAGTACACGTTCTGACGACCCTCTAGGTGAACGGGAAGCCTGACGACCACGTGACTTTTGCCGTGCAATTTGTACGAAAACAATCGCCAGACGGCTTCTGGCGGGCTGACGTATCTCGAGTTGACGTAACTATAGGGAAATATTGAAAAGATTACCAACAATATATTGACTGACTCCATATGAAATGATACCGTTTAGTGTTGTGATTGGTATCATTATTATTATTATTATTATCTTTATGATATAATTCAAGTGAATATAATTTTTTTTTTTTCTGGAGCATTGCATTTTAACCGTACTAAGAACTAATTTTTGAAAATTTTACGAAGACTTACAGTTCTTTACTTTAATTGTTAGTGAACAGATACACAATCGGTGTGTTATTATTAACAACGAAAAATATTATGCACATGACGAAGAATCCCTACAACCGTTGAATTATAAATTGTGTAAAGTCTGGCATACAAGAAATGTGACTGATATAATATTATGATATGTTTTGATAAATAAATGTTGTAGTAGCACGCGTAAAACAAAAACGGCTTGAGTAGCTAAATATTAATAGTAATTAATATAAGTTTACAAGTTAAATAATTCCAAGAGTTGGAATTAGTATATAATTGATGTATTTAATTCAATTTATAATTTATATTTTGTACTGTGAAAAAACGCATCAAATGTTAAGTTAAACTAAAAACTTGTATCAGCTGGAATACATTATCTGTGTATGAATCACCGTATAATATTATATAAGAATGGCAAAGGTATAGGAATATTAATTTATGTCAATGAAAATAACAATCTATAAATGTGTTTTTTTTGCTGGAATGAAAAAATAATAAAATACCTAAACAACACATTAAATGTAAAGTATGCAAAAGTAAAAAAAATAAAAGGTATTGGTAAAAGTATGGACACACTGCTAAAAATGACACATGCATAAAATATAGTAATAATTTTCAATTTAACACCTATAATAAAAATACTAATTAGTATGTAGGTAAACACTGTGTACTAATGTAGACCACCTATAGAACTGACTGTAGAAGTACATAATATAATAATACCTAAACAACGCATTATATATATATATATATATATAAATTGATTGAAGGTATAAAACTTAAAGGTAATGGTGAATGTATACAACTACCCTAAAAAGTAGTAAATAATTCCTACACACAGAACACACTGAATATATTTATTTAATTTATGTGTAGTACTGTATGTAATAGAATGTTTATTATGTCTGTTATACACAGCTTGAATGAAAACCCATGAAATGTAATAATAATAACGATCACCACCTAAAATAATTATGTTGCTTGGTGCAAGAAGGGTCGATGTCACATTTTGGCAAAATTGAGATTATTAATTGACCAATGTCATTAAAATTTACTTATGTCACTCGGGTCAAAATTAGATAAAGTTTACAAATGTAGAAGTTACTAATATTATGCTCAATGGAATATTATTATTGAAATGTAAAAATATTTGAATAAAAATGTTTATTAAAAATTTTAGTTTTTGGCCAATGTCGAAACCAAAGCAATTTTATTTTTTCTGGGTGGTCAATGTCAAACTGAAACTTACATATTTATTCTTGAAAACAAAATGAGAGTCATACAATGAAATAAAAACAAATATAATGTTTAGAGTTCCAAAATAAGATTAAAGATTGAATACCTGAAGATTGTCAAAATATGACATTGGCTCTATTTGCACCAAGCCACATCATAATGAAATACACACTGAATACACTAAATAAACGTATTATTATTATAATCATAATACCATACACATGTAGACGTTATTTTATCTTATATATTATTGTATATTTATGATTTATTTACACGTTCAATTGAGAAATTATGTTTATATCGCTAAGTGTAGTGTAAGGTTAAGACTCACTTTTTAGTTTTATCTTCTTCCTCCACCTCCAATGTCACACGGTCGTGTCCCTTGTACATGTACTTGTAGATATACATGACGCTCTTTATGGACGTGCATATCTCGACGTTGATGTGCGCGTCGTATTTGGCCAGAAGGTAAGGGTTGTATGGCACTACACACCCGTTACCGACCGCATGACCTCTCACAGGTACCACTCGGCCGTCGACCGGTCGGCGGTACTTTGGATAACCGCCTTCCCCGACGTACACAGTCTCCTCTGCGTACGCTTTCGGGAAATCTTTCGAACAACTGCCGTTCACCATGCACGGACACTGCGGGTTGACTCTTCCGCACGGTCCGTGTATCATGTGGGACTTCACGCAGTCGTGTAAGCGCCTGTCGGTCTCCGGGTCTGGCAAGAAGGCGCAAACCACGTCGTCGACGTCCACCGCTGTGCGAAACTTACAATCCTCCGCCAGGATCAGGAGTATGTGCGCATGGGGCAGTCCGCGTTTCTGAAACTCTATTGTATAAACGTAAGCGTCGACATCACCAAATACACGATTAACAGTTAGGTCACAAAGTAGGTCCTGTAGTTTCAAGTTGAACACCCTGGCCGTGAGTTCGGGCCTGTCATTTGCATAGCTGTGACGCGCCAGGTTTTCCGTGATCTCCGGCCACCTGGGATTGCACGTAAACGTTATGAACAGGTCGGGCTTCCCTTTGCTGCGGACCATGGCCATGGCGTCTTGATAACACATCTTGTTGTATCGGTCGCTGCCCACGAACGTCGACGGTAAAATGACCCTACGGCCGACCGCCATAGGATCGATGATGAGACGTTCGTTCACATGGTCCACCAACCCTTGATACGCTTCGGCAAAGATTTCTGCCTGATGCTCACGTATGTAGTTCAGATTGTTGGTTTCCATCTGAACGTAGTGGTCTCACAGGAACTGGTGAAACAAGGACCGGCCCTGATGTATCGAACTGAACCGTTGGTGCCTCGTGTCGTTATTTCCCTCGTATCGAATGGCCACGCGGTAGCACGCAAACTCTCTTATAGAGTTTCGACTGCGGACGTTATTTCGTCGAGGGCCCTCTTGCAACATCTCGTTATGCCAACCGGCCTCGCCGTACGGGAAGAACAGCGGATACAACATGGGATCCGAGTGAGACGAACCTCGAGAAATATAATGAATTTTAAATTAATTGCTAAGCCAAAGGTCTGTAGTAGCTGAGAGTTGGTTTATGGAGATACGTTTGTGTTGTGTGTACACAATTTGTAGAACCGCCAAAGAAGTGTATGAAATAATGTATAGAAAATATTAACTCTAAGATCGGCTATAATATTGGGTAAGTGCTATTAGTTATTAAGTATATTATGTAATGTGAAATCAAAACTATGAATCTATACGAAACTGTGATTCTTTAACTCTATTTAGGAGTTATTTATATCTATTTGTTATTTATCATTATAGCAAGTACCTACATAACGTTTTGTAGAACCACAAAAGTTAGGTGAATATATTTAGGAGGAAAATCGAATAATAATAATATGTGATAGGTAGGTATTATGTTGATCCACGTTGTTTTAAATTTATAATAATGTAATGGCTTGTTTCACAACAACACAATGAATTTACACTGTTAATTAAATAAGTATTATTATGTATGTCGGTTTTGACCTAATTAATGAGTGAATAACTAATTAAATTTCAAAAGAATGTCCAGAATGTATGCGTGGGGGGATATTTACCAGTTATTTATTTATTGTTATGATTGGGTCGTGTATTTGTGTATATAGCAGTAATTTATAAAATAATCTAAAACATGAACTCTAAGGTGGGCTTCTAAGTGATGTTAGTTATTAAGTATACACAAATTATGAAATAAGAGAACAGTGAATTAAGCGTTGAAGTAATGTAACTATAAAATACTATCACTACAAAAATTGATGAGAGTTATGTACTAAATGAATAATAATGTCATGACTTTTGTTTTATCACACAACAAACTCAAACTGTTAATGTAATAAGTATTACTGCAAAAGTGAAAGGGATGAAGTCGGTGTTGACATAACGTATTAGTTATTAAGTAATTCAATTTCAAAAGAATGTCCAAAATGTAGTAAAGGTGGGGTGTAATTTAACTCTTCGTTGGTAGCAGTTACGACATCTGTTATAATATTATGTGTGTGTGTGAGGTGTACTAACCCACAGGTATCCTTTGCGTCCTGTATTGCATGTTGATTGGATTGTTGTCGAAGATGACCAGATCGATGTGTCTGGGAGGATTACCACCTTCACCTACGAAAACGGCCGCAACTTCATTTGCGGTAGGCAGGTTGTTTCGGCCCCTATCCCGGGCCGCATCTTCAACGAAATTCATCCTGGGCGGTGATTCCTGTTCGGGGAGCCAGTTGACGCGGACTTGTCTTGTGCCGCGTGGGTGTTGATGTGGTGGTGACCGACGGGACAGTCAGATCGGAACAAACAGATGGTATAATAAAAGAATAGAAAATAAAATAAAAACAACGAACGTCGCACTGAGAGGTGATTAACCGTTTATTATTGTCAGCGACGCGAGTCAAACAAAAAAACAAAAAGAACACATTCAATGTTTTCTGACAGTTTCTAGAGTTCGGAATTTCACAGAACGTGTGTGTACCGCTGTCGTGTGTCCAGGTCGGTATCGCGAAGACGAGAGAGCTCGCCTTCACAATCCGGTTCGCCGGACGGCCGGCCAACGGTTCCAGGCGCGCGTGTCGCGCTCCGTCGTCGTCCGTCGTCGATTGGCGGTTTGATAGAGAAGCCACGGCGCGGCTTCCGCGCAAAGGCTGTTTCAATTCAAACAGATTTTGCGCGGGACCGCGTCAGTCTCTATGCCATATTTTTCCAACAACTCCGTAGGTATATCGTCGTTTGGTTTTACATAGTAACAATAGCTCATAACATCATGGTGGTGAATAATTCTAGTATTTTTATAATTTATATTTTCTTCATCGTTTTTTTCTAAAATTGCCTCAAAGTCAGCATATATGGCAAATGGATGCTTCCGTGTGCGATTAAAATTTTCAAATTTCATAAAAGTGTTTGGACTTGGAAGTACTGGTAGTAGCGGCTTAGTTTTGTCGCAATTCAGTTTGTGATCTTTAAGTTGCTGTTCCGCGCTAACTCCACAGCGGTTAATTCCAAAGTATGACTTGAAACAGCGATTACATATTAACACAACGTGATCGTTTTGCGACATTTGTGAACCAACCAATTTAGATAGATTTATTATTTGACAGTAATGCTCGTTACCCGTGCCGTCTCCAAATAACAATAAATCATGGGGGTCAGTTCTTTAGACTTCACACACTTTTATGGGATGATATATCGTGTAATTACATATTTTTTTTTGAACCATTTTTCTTTTTGAAAATTTTTTTACATTATTTTTATGTGTAGGATCGCCTTGTTTTATGCTATATACATTAACCGATACATTATTTATTTTTTCAAATTTGTCGATATCTTTCATTGTTACGGGGAAATTTATTTTGGAAAAGTCATAGATATGTTCGACTTCTGTATAATTTCGTCCTATTCTCTCGGCATGCACGGGATTTACATGTTTCGCTAATATGCTATATTTAAAGCACTTGTTATCGTTATTTTGTACACTAACGGTTGCTTTTTTATTTTCGATGAATTCCGGTAATGGCGTATATGATGCGCCTCCTAAAGGTGTAAGTCGATTTATATTTAATATTAGACCGTCTATACTATCTAATGTAAATCCGCTGCCTTCAACCGCCATTATTTCCTGTTCTTTAAGTATAGTGTTAAAATCTATTTCTAATATTTCGTTTATATTATAGTCGTTAAATATTGGCCTTGCCCTGGTCTTAAAGCCACGATTTTTTTTTATTTCGGTGTGCGGTTTAATGTATGTAGCCTCCAGTTTAATATTATATTTTATCGGCGACTGACGAAGTGCACCGTCGATTATTTCAACTATTTCAGGCTTTGAAATTTCTAAAAATTCTAGGACGTCTTTAATATTGTCAATGTTTTTTTTTGATATATTCGGTACAAAGCCCCTTAAACGCAGACTTTGTTTTGACGAATTTCGATGATGTTGTTGTTGCGTTCATTCGTGCACGTTTATTTTGTACATTAGGCAAAGAATTTTCAGTATATTTACGTTTACCTAAATAATTTATAAGTTTTATATAACAAATAAAATATATTTATATTAAATATTATGTACTTTGTTTTGAAGATGCAGCTTGTATATTCTCGACGAAAATGTTTGGGGCTATTTCAATAATTTCCGGTTCATTGTTATCAGCTAAAAAATAAATCAATATATATTTATCATATTAAATGCATAAATTAATATTTAATACTTTTACATAATCCATTATTTTCTGCTTTATTTAACACATCAATAGAATAACTATCGTCGTCTTCTTCAAACGTAATATTGTCAATATCTAAACAAAAAATAATAATTATTTGTGAATCAATATATACCTATCTATTTAATATAACATACTTTTACGCATCTCATTATGTTCAACCTTATCCAACACATCAATACAATAGCCATCACTGCTGTTTTCATACATTAAATTATCATTAAACGCGTTGTTATCATCTACAATAAAAAATTTTAATTAAACACGATATATTTACTATATATATACTTTCACGCGATCCACTTTTTTCAGTCTTATCTAATACTGCTACACCATCAACATCTTTAAAAGTGATATCATATTATGTAAAATATTAAACACTAAATTATACATAAATATATAATTCTTTCTTACTTGTAGTTGCTGCTGTACTTGTGACTGGCTGTGCGTTACTGTTTAACAAACCTAAAATGGAACGATAATATATTATTTAAAATGCGCTATATTTCTTATATACTACAACCATGTACATGTGTTTGTATAAGCTAAACCCCTTAAAACGCTCACTATGTCTTTATTATATGACACTAGTATTCGAATAATGTTTATTAAATAAATTGATAAAAGATTATCACCCGGTACTGCCCGCAACATGTAAACAAAAGAGACAACTGTCGCGTCATGTTGATCGAATCCATGATACTGAGTACCTAACCGTCGTGTACTTGGCTTATCGTTGTAGATAAAAAAAATTATTCCCGCCGATAAATTTACTCACCATGAATACTTTTCTCGTTTCGTCTGAGAGCATCCTTTCTGCTAAAAACAGTGTTGCATATAATACACTTAAAAGCTTCAATGGTATTATTATGACACTTTAAATGTCTGTTTAAAGAGTCATTCCTCGAGAAAGTACAATTACACTGATCGCACTTAAACATTTTTAATATGCACAAAATAGAAGTAACCTGTGACACAAATGACTGACGGATCGTTACTAACGCATCTGATAATGGTCGAGACAAATAATAATTTTTTTATACACGTTTCAAAGATTTTTGCTTAAATGCATTTTTTTTCTCTTAAACATAATATTGCGCGTGTGTGTGTGTGTGTGTGTAGGTGAGATTTTATATAGTGTTATAAATATTATGGGTGACATATGTTTTGAAAAAAATGCTTATTGCTGTTTTAATTTTTCTCGAAACATAATACTTATGATAAATCTCAGTGCACTGTTAGTTTGTCAGTTGATGTGAAATATTATTTAAAAAATGTCAGACAACAACGATAGTCAGGTATCTGATATAAACACACCTGATATTTCGTCAGGCTTTATTGACTTTTTAGATAATGGCGAGTTTGATCAAATGGTAAGTTTAATTAAGTATAATATATTATTTGCATATAATTAAAAATAATACATTTTGTAGCTATCAAATACACCGAGACGAGTCTATTATAGCAATTTTATTAAGCCCAGAGGAAACAGTTGACGAAGTTAGTATGATATAATATTGATTAATAATGTAGCACTTACCTTAATGACGTTATATGTTGTTATAGACTATAAAAGATATTGAGCATAAATCTAAGGATATAACCATCAAAGGAAAACCAAATGATGTGGACTTTTGGGGAGGTGAAGAAGCTGACAAACTATGTCTTGAAGCACTGGAAAAATTTGTCTGGGGTAAAGATTACGCCGATGATGAAAAAATGATGTTAGAAGTTTGTACATAACACGTATTATATATTTGTAAAATAAAAATTCGTAAAAAAAAAAAAAAAAACTTTTGACAATTATTACAAATCTTCATCAGATGATATATCAGGTGAATACACTTCGGACATTTCTTCATCGTCACTACTATAAATATTTTTAAATATTAGAAAACAATAATATTAATAAGAATATTAAACTTATGGTGTAAATAGCTCATCATCTGTTGATTGTTCGTCATCAGTTGTTTGCTCGTCATCAGTTGTTTGCTCGTCAACACTATGATAAATTAGTATAATTAATTAATATAATAAAAATAATAATAATATTAAACTTACGGTGGGAATAACAGTAGAATGTCGAATTCATTTCGAGGACGACGTCGACCAAATCCTAGTGTGTTTATAAAAAAATACAAAAATACCGCTTCGAAATTGAACATTTTGATATTGAAATAACACTGAACGTTTTTAGTATAAATTACGTATCATACTGATTTAATAAAATAATTTGTCATTATTTTAATGGAAGGAATTTAAGCATGGAAATGCTTGACAACAATGAAAAAATATATATGTAAGTGTGAGAAAACATCTTGCTTAGAGAAGACATAATGCTTACTATGCAATTCCATGCAGATTCTTTGATCTATAATATGTCACCGGCATATCCAGGTGGATTAGGTATATAATGTGTTTAGCATTTACATGTATATATATATATATATATATATATATATATATATATATATAATAAAGGTAGTGTGTTGCACAATTATATGCGGATACCCTGTTATACATGTGCACTCGTATTATTATTTGTTAACAGTAATGTGATAAGTGATATCAGTTTAGGGCAGAACTGCTCGCGGTAATGTACAAGTGTTAACGGTAATATGATAACGCATAGTAGCGCACGTACGCGATCGGGCTGTTGACGGTGGCGGTGGTGGTGGTGAAGTAGGGGTGAGGCGGTGTCGGTAGCGGGCTATCTATGGCTGGCCGGTGAAGTGGAGAGGTGGCGGGCTATCTATGGCTGGGCGGTGAAGTTTGAGGTGGTAGTGAAGTGGAGAGGTGGTGGTGGTGGTGGTGGTGGTGGTGTGGTGGTGGCGGTCCTAGAATTGGCAAATTTATACTACTGCCAAGAAACACCTTAATATAGAATGGCTGGGAAAAACACTACACAACACAGACTACCCCGTGTATCTTGGTGTCACCCTAGACAGGACATTGACATTTAAGGAGCACTGTTCGAAAACTAAAATGAAAGTGCAAGCAAGGAACAACCTACTTAGAAAACTTGCTGGAAGCCAATGGGGGGCACGAACTCACACCATGCGAACAACAGGAATAGCCCTATGCTTCTCAACTGGAGAATATGCGTGTCCAGTGTGGAGCCAATCCAAACACGCCAAAAATGTATCTGTAGCTCTGAACGATACCTGTAGAATCATAACGGGATGTCTTAGACCAACGCCTACAAACAAGCTATACCTTCTAGCAGGCATAGCTCCACCTGAAATTAGAAGACGAGTAACCACCGATATAGAAAAAACCAAACAGATAAAGGACGAAAGACATCCTATGTTCGGACATGAAATCGCGAATACAAGACTTAAATCCCGAAAAAGCTTTATGCAAACGGCAAAAGAACTGCACGAATCCCCCCAAAAAGCTAGATTGCAAAGGTGGCAAGATGAGCTACAACCGGAAGAACTGACTCAGATTAAACAACAACTCCCAATGGGTGGACACCTTCCATGGCCATTATGGAAAACTCTTTATAGATTGAAAGCCGGGGTGGCGAGGACGAAAGCTAACATGGTAAAATGGAAATTTAATGGAGAAGATGACTCATGCGACTGTGGAGAACGACAGACCGATGAACACCTCCTGTCATGTACCATGAGTACAGCACAATGCACCAGGGAAGATCTGATTCTGACAAACACAAATGCAATAGAGGTAAGTAGTATATATTTGTATGTTCACAACCAGCTTTTCCAGGGAAAAAAAAAAGTTCAAGGGGAGAATGTCCCCTTGGAGCACTCAGATTTACCGTGTAACACAATTTCACACTGATTGACTACCAAATTTCGTCTCACGCAAAAAAAATATTTAATATTTTTTTCTTTTTTACTCGTGTTGGTTACACTGTTTTTTTATCTAAAATTTGATAAACAAATTTACAATAATTTTTAAAGTTGATTATTTTTTTTTTATTATATTCAGTTACTAATGAACTATCGTTCACTCAAGTTGTGTCTCATTTTTCTTTATTTTCTCAAAGTTTTATTAAATTGAATAAGTTATTTAATTTCTTCAAAAATGAATTTTCAAAAATGCACAAACGATATCCAGTCATTGGTCGATCAAATACGATTCAATTCATCGCCAGCGTATCCAGAATTCTCTACATTTGTATCGAGGTTACGAACTTTTAGAAGTTTCCCTTCAAATACCGGACAGAATAAGTACAAACTCTCGGAATGTGGATTTTACTATATCAATCTCGACGATGCAGTTCAATGTCATTGGTGTGGAATAATTCTACATAGTTTTGAAATCGGTGATAATTGTTTCATAGAACATACTCGATTCTCACCTAGATGTTTATTTGTATTGTTAATGAAAGGAAATCAGTTTGTTCAAAAAGTCTTAAGTAAATATTGTAAAACCGAAGTTATTTGTAATTGTGAAACCGGTTCGTACGACACCATTTGTTAAATCATGTTTTTTTTTTTTAAATGTTTATATATAGGTACATATATTTATGCTGCTTATAATATTTGCTGTATTGGATAAAAAAAAATAAAACAAAATTGAATTTTTTATCTTAAATGTGTTAATATTCGATTTAATATCTCGTGGACATACAGTCCTAGCGAATTAGTGCGTATAAAATAATTTAAAATGTTTTTCAGGTAACAGGTTAGTAAGTATATGTAAATTCCCTCTCTTGTACGCACTCATTGGCTATCTGTATGTTCACATTTTTTGCATTTTTTCCAGAGTTTTTTAGTATATAATATGACTGCAAAGGGAACAAACTAGCAGTTCAATGTATAACTCCTAACAGTTATATCCCACTTCTTATTTATAAAAGATTTTTTTTTTTAAATTTGTCAAAAATAACTTCACCATGAGTTCACCAATAATTGTGTGTAAGTCTACACTCGACATCCGGGCTTTTAACAAGAAAAGTATTACAGTTGGATTACTAATTAACAAGCAGATTTCAATTATTTTATTATTGGAATGTAAACTTACAAAGAAAATTATCACATTAAGTTTAGAAGAATGGTTTACACTGATGTCTGAACCTAATTACAATTCGATTATTAATAATTTAAATACTAGGGTGAGGCGTGTAAAAATCACCGATTCCTTTTCATATTCAACCAATGTTAAACAGAGTTTAATTACCCTACATATAAATGAGGAATACATCACCTTGTCACATGTAGATTTGTACCGACTTCGTCAATTACAGAATTTGATAGATTTGTACGTGGTAGACAAGCAAAAACGTTTAGCAAATTATCAAAATACTTTCAACACTGCATATGACCTAATTAAAAATGATGTCCGTGGTCTGCCGTCCACCTGTCAAAGGAACGAATTTACCAACCAATATATTCAAAACTATGATTTTAATTATTATAATCACCTACAGAACGATGACACATCATTTTTATATGAAATATTACAATTCCATTTTAACACATTGTCTGATATGATTTTACAAGACCTAATATCATAAAAAAAATATTTAAATATGTATAATTATTGTTTTTTTTTTTTTTTTTAATAAAACTTTTATTCAATAATAAACTTGCTTTTTATTTTAATTACATCTCACCTTAAATCATAAAGAATAGTTTTAATAAGTTTTAGTTTTAATTTGTTAATATTTTAAATTTTTTTCCAACCAACCATAGTTTATAGGTTTATGTTTTCCAAGACCTTTAAGTTTTGAATAAATAAAAACATACATGTATAATAATATTTTGTTTATTAAATGAAACTCATTTTTTCATATAATAATCAAACGGTCGTCTTGCTTTTAATAGTCTGACGCTTCGGATCGGTTAGTAATTTGTCAAATATGGTTTGCATTGTCTCATTAAGACCAGTATGAAGCGTTTGATCTTTTGATTCATCGCTTGTATACAATCTGACAGTAGCTTCACTGAACTTCCATCTATAACACCAAATT